TGCTGCTACCACTCGGTGGCCAGGCACACTGCATGTCAGGCACACTGGGTGCCTGTGGGCCTCGTGCTGGGTGTGCACTGTCTAACGCTGGAGAGGGCTCACTGCTATGAGAGGTTCCCAGAGAGAAGGGAGGGCCAGGAAGAGAGGTGAGAGCACTTCCAATCAGGCCTGCCAAAGGCCTGCGGCTGGGCTCAGCTCCAGCGCCACCAATGCCAGGCTGCGTGCCTCTGGGCAAGGTTCTGCCCTCCAACCTCAGGGGCCTTGCATGTGGATGGAACGAAGGGGTAAACTGCACATGGCTCTGGTGGCCTTGAAACCGTCGGTTCTTGGACAGCACTCCTATCGACAGGTGTAGTCCAACGGGAACCCTCTTCAGTGCCTGGTCTTGGGGTCAGCTGGCTTGCTCCTGGACACTTGCCTCTGGAGCTCTGAGCTGCACATAGGCAATTTGGGGCTGCCACGCCACGAGGAAGTCCAAACAAGCCCATGCGATGCCCACAGGGAGAGGCCTCAAGCCGGCATGGAGCGATGTAGCCAGCCCAGCCACTCCACCCACCTGCAGCCGCCCTATCTACCTTGGACTGTGGCAAAGCTCCACGTCAGAGCTATGCAGCCAAGCTTCCCCCAAACTCCTGACCCACAGAGGCATGAGAGAAGGCACGATTGCCACTTGAAACCACCGAGCACTGGGCTGAGGAGCTGTGCAGTGGTAACCAGCACACGGTAGCGTCACTGCCAGCTCTGGGCTGCCCCTCCACTCTCTCCAGAATTCTATGAAAAGCATCGCCAAAATACACTGTAGAGAATGAAAAGAAGTAAATCTTCTCTCTATAATACTCATTCACTCAACAAAGCTTTACTGATCACTCAGTGTGTACCAGGCTTGGGACAAGATGCCACAAATATACAAACAGCTGCCTTCCTGCCCCTGCGGGAAGTTCACAGTCTGATTACAGACATGGACGCCCACACTCATTGTTGTTAATTAGTGGCAGTGGGGCATGAGGGGCACAAACCAGAATCCCTGGGGACACTCACACACTGTTCCCCCTGCCTCCCCCAGCGGCAGGCTGGCGGGCTGGGGAGCGGGGAGTGGATGCCCCTCGGCAGACGGTCCTTGCCCTTGTCTGCCTCTGTAACTGTCCACCACAGCCTACACATGGGATGAAAGAAAAAAGTTTAGGGACCGCTTTGCATATAAATCTTTAAAAACCTTGGTAGCTGATGGCTGTGCAAGGCAGAGGGTGCTCGGGAGGCGGTGACTTCTACAAGGTCACTAATTTGAAGGAAGTCACCCCTGAGGCCTCCTTCCTTTCTGGTTACTCTTATTGTCCAGCAGGCACTGGGACTCAGCAGCCAACTAAAAGGCTCCACCCCCAGGAAGCTCGCATTCTAGTGGAGTAACTAACAGAGTGAGTGTCAGGTTGCACAAGTGCTGCAGAGGCGGGACAGGAGGGTGAGATCGGCTAGTGAGAGGGCAGGAGCTGCTCAGACAGGACACTGATGCAGGGCCGAAAGGCAGCGATGGGGGGCCGGGGGACGCCTCGTATCCAGCAAGAGTATCATGGAGGCCACAGGGCTGGGGAGCAGGGAGAGCAAGGGCGGAACGCAGCCGGGAGCTTTCTAGGGTGCTGGTGGACAAGGGCAGGCTTTGGCTCGGCACTGATTTTGATGTTACCATTTTCACTGGCATTTCCCAATGAACATGCTGTGCCTCCCTTCTGTTCTAATTTTAGGGGCTTCTCTCTAGTGTAGGGGTGAGTGAAAGCCTGGGAGGCTGAGAGGGGGTCTCTGCACATGCTGCTCCCAAGCACAGACACTGGGGGCTCACGGGCAATGCCAGCAGGAGTTGGGGTCCTCCTGTCTCAACTGAAGGAGAAACCAAGTTCTCCTTCCACTCTTCCCGCTTCACGGCAGAGGCAGAGTCCAGACTCCAGAAAACAACACGTGGGTAAATACTCATTAAACGACAGCCCCTCCTGGAACCTGGAAGAGTAACACCTCCAAGTCAGGGCCCACCCTTCCTGGAGCAGCTGTGAATGTCGCCTGCACTTCTGGGCCACACGGACACAGTCCACACAGGACCCCTGGTGTTCTAGGCCTCCACTCCCACCCCCAGGGACTCGGTCTTCACAGGACTGCTGGCCCCCAGCTCAAGAAACAGAAGAACATAAGTGAACTGATTAAGGGCTGGTGCTGGCATCCCATATGGTTGCTGGTTCAAGTCCCAGCTGCTCCACTTCTGATCCAGCTCCTGCTGATGGCCTGGGAAAGCAGTGGAAGATGGCCCAAGTACTTGGTCCCCTGCCACCCATGTTGGGGACCCAGAAGAAACTCTTGGCTCCTGGCTTCTGATCAGTTCAGCTCAGGCTGTGGTGGCCATTTGGGGGAGTGAACCAGCGGATGGAAGACCTTTCTTTCTGTCTCTCCCTCTCTCTGTCTGCAACTATGCCTCTCAAGTAAATAAATAAATCTTTAAAAAAAGAATTGATCGATCAACCAATCCACTAACCAACAAAGTAAGAACTTAAGGATATCTACATTCTCAAACGTAGATGTCTCAAAAGTCATTAAAATACTGAGTCCCTTTTCTTCACCAAATAAATAATAACACTGGCAATTTAAAATAAAATAGCAATTTTAGCTAAAATTCACTAAAAATAAGATCAGAATGGCTACCACTTAGGGGGCTGCATCCCCGCGTTGGCTCACGCAGGCTTCAGAGCAGCCCTGCATCATCAGATGCTCTGACGCACAGGGTGCCTGCGCGGGAGCCTGGCCTCCAGGACAGCGCTTCCTTCAGCTGGGGAAACAGAGGCAGCAGGGGCTCCTGGGAAAGGTGAGCTGCAAGGAGCCGCGGCAGCAGGAGGGAAGTGCTCGGGGTTCATCCCGTCCCCGCCCAGCCACAGCACCTGCTGGCTGTGCTCTGGCACTGAGAATCACAGGACGTTCTTTCTCTCCTTCAGTCACGCTCTTGTCTGTACTAAGTACACCCTGTCTCCGGCGGTGATCCTGAAGGCACGTCTTCAAGGCACTGCATCACCGAAGCCTGAGTGCTGTGCGCCACCCGGCGCCTTCCATCAGCTGGCGACTCGGGACTTGGGCTTGCAGCTCCACTCCTTTAGTGTGCCGCAACAGTGCCCAGCATGGATGCTGTGCCTGTCTCCTCTCTATCAGAGGACGGTTCTGTTACCAAACTCCCTGGCCCTCCGGCTTTTCTCAGCTCCAACAGCCATGAACTCTGCACTGTAATAACAGTCGCTGAGAACCTGGAGTGATTCGCTGAGCACCCAGCACAGTGCTCAGTGTGAATGCCTTTTAAATGCTTCCTAGAGGAATGAATCTGTGAGTCAGGGGAGACACGTGACTGGTATGACGTGCAACGTGAGACGGCTCAGGAGAGCACCCAGTTATGTGTCCTCCGGGTGCCTGCCATTCTGGAGGGACTAATGGGTTGGTGTGTTCCCGAGAGCCCTTTCTGTCCACAACTACAGCAAGACAGGAGAGAAGTCGACCAGGGATTCAGATGACAGAAAGGCGATTCCGTGCAGAGCAGCCCCAGGTCTGACTGCAAAGGAGAAATGTGGCTCCCACATCATCATTATAATTAATAGCCATGCACTGAAAAGGCCTATTTGACAGGAGAAGCTGATGGGTGGGAATTACTGTCTCCTGGGCATGAAAACCCCAAACCTAAGCATATCAGACCCATGCTTGCAGCTTCGTAGCAAATAAAGCCTTTTTAAAAATTTATTTATTTTGACAGATAGAGTTAGACAGAGAGACAGAAAGAAAGGTCTTCCTTCCATTGGTTCACCCCCGAAATGGCCGCTACAGCCAGAGCTATGCGGATCCGAAGCCAGGAGTCAGGTGCTTCCTCCTGGTCTCCCACGTAGGTGCAGGCACCCAAGCACTTGGGCCATCCTCCACTGCCTTCCTGGGCCACAGCAGAGAGCTGGACTGGAAGAGGAGCAACAGGGACTAGAACCCGGCGCCCATATGGGATGCCGGCGCTGCAGGTGGAGGATTAGCCAAGTGAGCCACGGCACTGGCCCCAAATAAAGCCTTTTAAACAGTATATTCAAGGGGCTGGTGCTGTGGTGTAGCGGGTTAAGCCTCTGCCTGCAGCAATGGCATCCCATATGGGCGCTGGTTCGAGACCTGGCAGCCCCACTTCTGATCCAGCTCTCTGCTATGGCCTGGGAAGGCAGTGGAGGATTGTCCAAGTGCTTGGGCGCAGACACCCGCGTGGGAGACCAGGAGGAAGTACCTGACTCCTGGCTTTGGATCGGCATAGCTCCAGCCACTGTGGCCAGTTGGGGAGTGAACCAGTGGATGGAAGACTTTCTCTCTCTCTCTCTCTCTCTCTCTCTCTCTCTCTCTGTAACTCTGACTTTCAAATAAAAAGCAAAACCAAGCAAACAAAAAAATAGCACATTCAAGTCAAATTTCATTTGTCTAGTTACTCCAGAAAAGGACTCCAGACACCAAGATTCCCACACTGGTACTGGTACTCTAATACTTAAGTACTCCTAAGTATCTGGAGGTAGAAAGTTGATTAGCCATTGCCTAGGGCTACAGAGGAGGGAGGGGTGGGAGGGTGCTGGCTGAGGGATGTGGCTATAGAAAATCAGTTCTCAAACTGATTGCGGTGATGGACACACAGCTCTGACTACGTATACGAAAGGCCACACTTTGAATGGGGAAACTGTATGGTGTGTGAAGTCTATTTCAATAAAGCCGTAAGAAACAAACCCACATACCTGAATTACAGTGGGGGGTGGGGATCTCCCGTGCTGCACTGATGCCTCAGCCACCACCCTCTGCTGACTCGGGGTACCTGCTGCGAATGCAGTATTTCCTATCAGACGCCACACAGCAGTGGTCTCTGGGTCACAACACACAGGGCCGTCTGCGCTACATATCTTCCCTGAAGCTCACTTTCAACTGACGCCTTGGCAGCTAAGCACACATACTCACGCCACACACCACCTACTCACTATAGGCTGTGGGCTCTCAGGGGGTCACTCCGTGTCTCAGCGTCTCCGTATGTAAAGCTGTAGACCAGGCTCACTGGGGCACTGTGTGGATTAGAAAAGGCAACGTGTGTAATGCACCAACTGCTGTTCTTGCGAGGGGAGCCAGACCGAGCACGCGCTCTCAACACTGCTCCCCGCTGTCGGTGTCGCTGCCCACGGCAGCTCTCCTGAGTCTGGACCAGAAACCAGAAAACATGTGTGTTCGGTGCACTTGGTACTGGGCAACTTATCCCTAAACAGGATCCCTCGAGGGCCCAGAGAGGCCTCCTGACATCTTGGAGGCTGGAGCCAAGGGGACACAGTGGCCCACACACCCTGCAGTCTCTCTAGACCACTGCTTCCGAAATTCCAAAGATCACAGACATTTGAGAGCAGAAGGAACTTGCAGGCCCTCGGCTCAGCAAAGTGCATTCACGTACGCACATGATGACGGGGGTGGGGGTTTGAATCCAGAAGGCCTAGCCAGAAGCCCCTGGTTCAAGACCCCAGCATTCACAGAGCTCACAGGCGCTGGGCTGGACGCTCCCACAGCAGCTGGACACAGCCCTCTGGAGGCCTGCCAACACCACCCCCACCCCCATCCCCACCCCCACCCCCAGCTTTGGCCAGAGAAACAGTCCCGGGAACAGACTGCCGCGTCCCAGCCGCTGTGACCATCTGCAGCCAGGGGATTCCCAGGGGCCCGGGTCAGAACAGGACGCAAGCTGGTGGCTTGAGAAGCTACTGGAGGGCAAAGCCCAGAAGACTCGCTGATAACGGCCGGGGAGTTCCAACCTCAAGGCAGCTTCCTGCCACGTGAGACCCTCCCTCTGCCAGCAGGGAACAGGAAAACTCAGGCAGGGGAGCCAGGGGAGGGAGTGCGAGGAGCTGAGGGGCTCCCCAGACCCCAGGACCTCTAGGATTCAGACAGAAAAACTAAGGCTTAGGACCCTGTGCCAGGTCCGAGTGGAGGCAGCCGGGGGCAGGCGGCGACAGAGAAGGCAGGTGGGCTCCGGACCAGGCCCCGCACCACCAGCTGAATAACGTCTCTGACCCTTCCTTTCTTCACCTGTGAGACAGAGACGACAATCCCGACTCTCAGGTGGTTGTGAGATGAAAGGAAACACACTGGGCTTTTTCTGAGTCTTTGTCTCCCCGTCAGAGGCAGCAGTAAGGAGTGAGGATGACCAAGATGAAGGTGAGCGCTGACTCTAGTCTCAGCAGAGCCTTGGGTTCCAGTCCTGGCCCCGCCACTTAGTTAAGTCTTTCTGCAAACAGCTTTACCACAAACACTCGGGAGGCAGAAAGGCCGGCATCACACCCAGAGTTGGATACTAACTCCTGTGTGTGACGCCACCTGCTAAGTGTGCAGCTCAGGAGCCCCCGGACCCCCTTCTGACGCAAGGACTGTGGAGCTGCAGCGTGACGTCACACAACGTCCGAAAAGAACCATCCTGCCTTAGCTTCCTGGGGCCCAAAATTCCTCTCTAATTTCATTCGGAACCTATTTCACTTCTTCCTTCAGACAGAAAGAAACAGATATTTAGGCAAAAATTGCTGGCGCTATGGTAGCAACGAGGGCTGTGGCTGCCCACCTGGTTTAAGTTCTTTCTCCGGCTTGCATCTCCTCAGATTCTTCACGGTTGATCAATCAGTGCGGAAATTCTAAGGAATCAGAAGAAAAAAAAACATCAGACATACTCCAGGGTTGTCAACTGAAGCGATCTGGGAGGGCAAGTCAACAAAATCCATTCTGTGAGACATTAAGGAATTTATGCTACAGACGTATTCCCATAAACAGGACAATCAGTGAGCACATTGCATAACAGCAGAGAAAAAGGAAATGTTTTACATCTGTGTCAACAGAACAAGAATTACAGTGTATCAGTACAAGAAGTTATACAGCTACTGCAAACAATGAGGAAGGCTTCATTGTACTGATAGGGGAACATGCACACATTTGATAATTACTGTAAAACTGCATAGATGGTCCAAGAAGTGTGCATATGAATTTATGATTAGAGAAAGTCCAGCATTTGTATACATACACACTTTTAAAGGTGTACACACTTTACACTTTAAAAAATTTTAAGGATATGAGTATAGTTTAAAAAGTCCATGGGAAAATCTGATTAAAAAGTGTTTTATTTCTTAAAAAAATAGAAATATAATTTTAAACTCTTCCAAGAGAGCTAGAGGAGGATGGGGGAAAATATGTTTATTTTGGTGCAAAAGCATTTGAAAACTACATACACTTTTTCCATAATACCCATTTTCCATGAACGCTTAGAAGACTCCTTGTATGTAGAAAATGACAAACAATAAATTGTAAGCAAAGGTTCTCTCTGGGACTAAATGAGCTTGTAGGGAATGAAATGATAGACTGTTACCATACATACAGGGAGTGACAGACTGTCCCCGCGTACACCATCTCTGTTTCGACTGTAAACTTAGAGGCATGTGCAACTTTCCTAATCATGACATGCTGACCATGTAACATTCCATCTCCAGAGAAAAGATCAGGAGGAAGGCAAAAAACATTTTCAAACAAAGATTGGGCAAGTATACCATCACAGACCTCAGACTCACTCTCCAATAGAAAGGACGCTGACTACAGAAAGTAAAAATTTACAATCAACAGTGAGCAAATAAATTTGCAAGCATTTGGTAAATTTAAAGCAGCGCTGTTTGAATAAAACTAATCAGAGATGAAACCAAATTGGATGATATTAAATATTCAATAATAAAGATATTGAGGATGACGGAGTAGAGTCAAACTGTGAATTTCCTCAATTATCCAGGACAAACACAGAAGCACTGTTTATGTAAGACAGTATACCCAGATGTACAGGAGCACTTTAGGACAAAAACAGGAATGCCATTTTATTTCAGGTAACATACCCATGATATTATGTTAAAATTTTAAGTATAAGAATAACAAAAGTAGAAATAGACTGCATATGTGCCAAACCAGTTAGCATATTTTTGTGCAGAAAAGCCTAATTATCAAAAAATGTCAATCCTTCCTAAACCATTACATAATTTTCATGAAATTTCAATATGAACACCAACTGGTTTATTTTGAAGGAGAGGAATGAAACAATTATAATTTATACAGAATAATAAATGTCCAAGAAACTAGCCAGGAAAACATCAAGAAAATGATGAAAAATGGGGGATTTAAAAATGTACTATAGAAACAAGGTGTTAACATGAGAACAAATACGTCTGTGGACTATAACAAGTCTAGAAATAAGTAAATAAAGGAGCTTCTTTTTTAAAAAGAGGGATTTCAATGCAAAAGAGAAATGAAGATTTATTCAGGAAACGGTGTTGTCACACTCAGAACAATACACGACCACCACCTCTTACTGGATGTAAACATAAATTGCAAAGGGATTCACGGTTCTGGATTAAATTAATTAAGGCAATAAAAGTATTATTAGGACATTTTAGGAAAAGATTTATATAACTTTGGGGTGGAGACGTTATTCCTAAACAAGGAAGAAATCCTGACCCTCTGAAGAGAAAAAGAACAGGCATTCATTTTACAAGAAAAATTCTGTGTTATATAATAAGGAATAAGAAAATGATACATTAGGAAAATTATCAACACATATGAAATCATTAATACAGAAAACATAAAGAGCTCCTAAAACCACTTGAGAAAAAGGTGAACAACCCATGAGAAACAGAGGTAGAGGTAATTCACAGACGAGGACAGTGAAATAGGTAACACGAAGCAACATTCACTCTCACCAGAAGTGAGAATACACAACGCAAGCAACTGGAAGGCAACATCTTCCCCTAATAGATCAGAGATAAAATAAATCAAGAGAGGGAGGGAGGGAGGGAGACGGGATGGAAAGAGGCAGGAAGTTGAAGAAGGGAGAGGACACTGGATACTGGTAAAGATTTAGGGAGTACTCCTGTATTGCTGGTATATATAACGTTGTAAAGCCGGCATTATTACGGCACAGTGGGTTAACGCGCCACCTGCAGTAACAACATCCCATATCAGAGCACTGGTCGGAGTTCCGGCTGCTGCTTCCAATCCAGCTCCCTGATAATGCACCTGGAAAAGCAGTGGAAGACGCAAGCCACATGGGAGACCAGGATGGAGTGCGAGTTCCTGGCTTTGCCATCGGCCCCGGCTGTTGTGACTATTTGGGGAGTAAATCAGAGATGGAAGATATTCATTCTCTCTCTCTCTCTCTCTCTCTCTCTCTCTCTCTCTCTCTCTCTTCCTCCCTCCCTGTTTGTTATTCTGCCTTTCAAATACATAAGTGCATTTAAAAAAAAAAGTAGTATAATATCTATTAAAATGTGAAATACAAATATTCTTTGACCCGGAAATATTAATTTTGAAAATATGACCTATAAAAATAAAAGTACTAGTAGAAAAGGATATGGATCTAAATATGTTTCACGCAATGATGTTTCTAGTGGGGAAAAATGCCCCAGTGTCAGCCCGTTTGCTGTTACTGTAACAGAACACCCAGATGGAGTCATTTATAAATCAAAGGTTTCTTCTGGCTCAGGGACCTGAATGTCCAGGAGTGTGGCCCAGCATCGGCTCAGTTTCCGCTGAGGGCCTCACAGGAGAGCAGAAGGGGAGGAAAGTGAGTGGAGGGCAGGGAGGAGCTGTTCCCCAACAGCCCACCCTGAAGACAGTGAATCCACTCCCGGGCCCAGCACTCCAGGCTGCTGCCCGGGGACAGACCACGGCCAAACCTAGCACCTGTAACTCGGCTTTCTGTCAGAAGAGAAACGGCTGAGTACATGGTGGCACTCCTCAATGTACAGGCCGGAAGTTGTTTACAAGACGAAGTTAGGTCTATACCTACCCATGATGTGCCTTCTAGTGAGAAAAATAAACTGCAAGGGAATGGATCAAATAGGATTCCGCTTGTGACAAAACAGTCACACACACCCTAAACCCTACATGCATTTAAATAGCAGCTTTGAAAATGTATGGAAGGACAGACAGACAGCACACGGATAACACAGCCTGTCTAATAAGGATGGAACAGGGAGTAGGAGGGAGGAGAGAGGTTACAGCTTTCCCTACGTAGCTTCGAACTGTTGGCTTAGGGACAAGGCACACATTTATTACTCAAGGGAAAAATCAATAAGTAAAAATAATACCACAGAAATATAAACATATGAGAGCAAAGACAGAACACTAGTAACCTATGCCAGGCACTACTTTTAAAAATTATTTATTTATTTAGAAAGGCAGAGTGACAGAGAGAGGAAGAGGGACAAAAACATCTGCCATCTACTGGTTTGCCCCCAGATGCCTCCAACAACAGAGGATGGGCCGAGCTGAAGCCAAGAGCCTGGAATTCATCCTGGGTTTCTCATGTGTGCTGGGGAGGACCCCAGTACTTGAGTCATCACCCACTACCTTCTGAGTGCATTACCAGGAAGCCAGTGCTCTGGCACAGAGGGTTAGGCCATCACCTGCAGCACTGGCATCCCATATGAGTGACAGTTTGAGTCCTGGCTGCTCCACTTCCAATCCGGCTCCCTGATAATGGCCTGGGAAAGCAGTGGAAGATGACCCAAATACTTAGGCCCTTGCCACCTACATGGGGACCAAGATGAAGCTCCTGGCTTCCACCTGGCTCAGCCCCAGCTGCTGGGGCTATTTGTAGAGTGAACCAGCAGATGGAAGAGCTCTCTGCCTCTTCCTAACTCTGCCTTTCAAATAAAAAAATTAATAAATCTTAAAAAAAAAAAAAAGCAGGTGGGACTTGATCCAGACATTCCAACATCCCAAGAGATGGCTTAAACTGCTGAGCCACACTGCCCATCCCTACCTATTTACTTTTATATGGAACAATAGGATACATTTATTATTGTCCTTAATTTTCGGGGGGTTAAAATAGAAGAGTATTGTGGCGCGGCAGGTTAAGCTGCCATTTGTGACACTGGCTTTCCACATCGCAGCAGCTGATTCCAGTCCCAGCTGCTCTGCTTTTGATCAAGCTTCCTGCTAATGCACCTGGGAAGGCAGGGGAGGACGGTCCTTGCCACCCACAAAGGAGTTCAAGCTGGAGGTCCTGGCTCCTGGCTTCAGTTTGGCCCAGCGTGTAAGCCAGTGGATGGAAGACTGATCTCCACTCCCCCCATTTTGTCTCCCCGCCTCTCTCTGTAAGTAAAGTAATTAAGTGAGTAGGTAAATAAATAAATCTTTAAAAGAAAATAGAACAGGCCTTCCAACATGCTGTTCTATAGTCGGAAGCAAGGGGAATAAAGCTCATGGGAGAAAAAGTAATTTATTTCCTAAGCATTTATGACTTTTATTTTTAAAAGGTGAAAAAAAATCCTTACTTAAAAAAAAATTTCCCCCTTTCAAGTCCAAAAGAAAGCCTATAGCTTTTGTTTGAAACTGCTCAGTGTTCAGATGGTGTGGGGGCTGACTCCGGGCTGTTTTCTGACCCCTTCATTCCCTCCAAAGCCAACTCTCCTCTCTTGGGAGCGACTGGGAAACAGCCCCGCCAGCCGCAGCGTCTTCCTGTCTCCAAAAGCAGGGGCTCTGGCGTCTCTAGCGCAGGGGGCCAGGAGTCCAGGCAAGTGAAGTAAGGTGTTCTGGGAATCACCTTAATGGGAGGAGAAAGGCAATGATGACATACAGGGGAAAAGCAGGAGAGCATTCC